AAGGAGAAAGTGCGGTTCTTAAATAGTCCTTACCCTAAGGAACAAGCGTTGGTAACCAAAAACTTGATGAGGTTGGCCTGGTTGGTCAGGCCCCCGAAGCAAAATTTCTGGAGTTGGGAGGGCTTTGGGGAGAGAGTCTGTTTTTGGAGATGCACGAGCTGGATGAGCTGTCAGCCTCCCCAGGAGGAAGGTGGAATGGAGTTCAACATCATTCTACAGAGCAGAATTTTTTAAAAGATTTTTGGGGAAAGAGGCTTTTTCACTTCCTCTTGTTATTTTCCTAAGGTGCTATTTAGGGACAATTGACCCGGCAAGCAGTGTTGCCCTTTTCCTCATGGAAAATTTATTCTTGTTCTAGACGGAGCCTGAGGGGTCCACACGAGCACCAAGACCAAACGCCCCATCTCTGTGCACTCAGGGCTCTGCCAGCCTGCAGGCTCCCCAGCCATCCCAAGCTGCAGCTGGTACCTTGCCCAGGGGCACAGGAGACCTCTCTCCTGCAGTCATTGGGCTGGGGGAGGTGGGCAGCTGTGCTGCAGGGAAAGAAGAGGGTGTGGGTGAGCGTGTGTGTGAGGATATTGGAGCGGTGCACTGGGGCACACGGATGCTGTAGTTGTCCTGGGGTGGCACTGCACACAGTGACTGGCTCTGCCCCAGGAGGGCCTGTGGCAGATACAATCCCCAGGGGAGACCCGGCTCCCTGCACAGTGACAATCTGAGCCCAAGAAGCAGGTCCTGGTCTGGTACCATGGCCCCTCCCTGCTGGTGCTGGGGGCAGGCAGTGGAGCACATTCAAGGGGATAAATCACTTCAATTCTTAATAAATCTGTCCAGCTGTCTACTCTCGTTCTTCTTTGGTGTGTTCTTTGGCACAGGACCAAGGTGGAAGAGGGAACTCTTGCAATTCCCCATTATCTTCCTGGACTAGGCTGAAGGGCTAGGGAGGCAGGGAGGGGACAAGTCCCAGTGGTGCCTGACTCTTGTGGAGTTTTGCTGAAGGGAGCGGGATGTGCCTCCTTACCCACTCCTCCATATGTAATGGCATGAAAGACCTGACCCTTGCTCTCTTTTCTGCTGCCTGCAAGGTGCACTAAGGCCAGGAGCCAGAAAATACCTCTGTGAGCAACAGCTGTGCCAGTTAACCAAACCCTGTGCCCTTCTGCTCAGGGCTGGGCACCTTACTTCCTTTTCCTCCTTTCTGTGCCAGCACAACCTTTGAAGGTTGCACCAGCCTGGTTAGGGAGGCATGGGGATTAGGGAGGTCTGCTGCCCTTCCTCTTGTGTTCCCAGACAATGCTGGGAACTGTGAGTTTTGATGGATGCCTTGGTAAATGCTGAGTCACAGCCGCTGCTCCAGCCTCCCTAAGCAGTGGGACATGGGTCCTGCATGTGTGGGGTCAGCATGGCCCCTTTTTGTGGCACCAGGGAGCAGCAGCATGAGCACCAGCTGGGACAGCACCTCTCCCTTGCCAGGCAGAGCAGGACAGAGCTGGGAGTGCTGGATTCTCCCCTATACCATGGCTAAGTCATCAACAGTACTCACAGAGACAGCACAGCCAGAAATTCCCATGGTCATGGATGCTGCACCATGGGATAGCACTGGGATGGGGCGGGATGGCATTGGATGGCATTCCAGGGCTCAACAAGAGCATACAGCCTGTTAGACAGTGTGGCACAGCACAGCCAGGGCCTGCAGCCCCTCACCCTGCACCTGGCACAGCACAGCACGGCTCAGCACGGCACGGCCAGATTCTGCCCCAGGGCTGCCCTCACCTCCCTGGATGCAGCATCACAGGGCCAGGGCGAGCAGCAGCAGCGTCTGGGGTCCCCATGGCAGTGGTGGCTGTGTGTGGTGCCAGGGCTCTGCCTGCACTGCTGCCCCACGCCCCCTCAGCCCCTTTTTTATAGCAGAGGGAGCTGAGCCTCCTGAAGGGACATCCGTGGGGTAGGATAGCCCCATCCTCTCTGGGGATGCACAGGGGACTTGTGCAGGGCAGGGACAGGGAGCTCACCTGATCTCGGATAGAGCTGGACAGAAAAAGAGCATGAAGGGCATCACAGGGACGGCAGTGGAGCTCTGTGAACCCCGCAGGTAGGGCAGGGCATCTCTGAGGGCATCACAGGAGGGCCCTGAGGACACCACAGGAAGGACTATCAGCTCTTTCTGTCCACTTTAGAGCTCAGCGTTCCCTCAGTCCTCAGCAGCCTTTAGGGTGGGATGGCAAGCAGCCTATCCTATTTGCTGTGAGCATTCTTCCCCCACTTGTCTGTCTTGGGAACTGGGCAGGCAGGGCATTGCCATGGTGGCCCAGGGCTGTCAGTGGGTGACAAATAGCCTTTTCTGCACTCCCCATGGGAGTGTTCCTGCAACCACATGAGTAGAAAAGTAACAATATCCAGGAAGGACAGGTTGTCCTGGATGCAGCACGCCCAGAGCAGCCGGTGTCATCCTCACATGGAAAAGCCCACAGACGATGGAAAGGGATGGAGATGCAGTCCCTTAGGGTCACCGTGGCAAGGTTGGTGGGACAGGGGTGCCAGCACATCAGTGAGGAACACCCAAGGTTCCCACGTCCATCCGTATCCTGTTGGCAGCTTCCAACAATAGCAGCGATGTCCCAATCCAGCTGGCAAGGAACAAGAGCAGGCACTGAGGACAGCACAGCTTCTGACTGGACTGGTGCTGCTTTGACACCTCAATACTGTTCCTTAATCCCAGGCAACATGCCTTCCAAAAATTGGGGTTCAGTCTGTAAAAAGGGATAATTCTGATTTCTCCTCCACTCTGGGCTGTGTCACCTCCATTAGTCTTGTATCTGACAGGCTCAGCTTTCATCAGCTTCTGCATGGATGGAGCTGGGGGCTGAGAGGACAGTCCCTGGTCACAGACACTTTGCCTGCACCACTGTTTTGCAAGTTTATTTTTTCAAGTTTTTCAAGTTTTTCTTACTATTATTCACCAGTCCTTATTTTTCACAACACCCTGAATGTGCATGAGTTTTAAACCACAGCCCTGATGACTTTTAACTTCTTCAGTGCTTCCTGCTTTGGATTTCTTCCTTGACTGCTGGTTGCCCCCACTTTCTGCTGTGCCAGGGCTCAGGCATGGCATTGCAGAATTTAGTCCTGGTGATGATTGCCAGCTCCAAGGCAATTTATTCTCTGATCTTTGGAGGGCACAAACCCCACGGAGACACTCAGCACTCAGCTGAAATCAGTCAAGAAATCTGCCTGCTTGGGCACAGAGCTGGGCCCTGAACCTGTGAGATGAGCCACAGGGATTGTAAAGTACAGGAAAAATAAAGATTATGTGAACAAATGAATATTATTGTTTGTGTGATGCTAAAATAAACCTACGCCTGTAAATGAGCTGTGGGCTGCCATCAACAGTGGGGAGACTTTGCGTTGTCCATCCACAGGGTTCCTGCAGGAGCCCCCTGAACCGTGGTGATGGAGAGGGGTGATGGAGAAGGGATGATGTCTGCCCCTCCTGCCCTCTGCAGCCTTCCCGGATTTACCCTGCTTGTTATCCCAAACATTGGCAATGCTCTGGGCAGCACCTGCTTGCCAAAAAACAGTCAGAGCAAATGGCAGCTATGTGCTAAAACACACCTTGTTAAACAGTTGATTTCTGGGACAGAACGCACTGGGGAGGAACGTGAGGCTGCCAGCCAGCTCTCTAGAGAGGGATTTCTTCCAGGCAGGATGCAAGAGGGCTGTAGGGCTCCTGTAGGGAGGAGAGGGGTCTGTGGAGATGTCAGCAGCAGAAATACAATTCTCTCCAGCCTGGATAGCAATAAAATTTATTGTCAGAGAGAAACCAGGGCTCAAATGTGAAATTTAAGAGAAAGCAAAGGCTGAGAAAAATAAAAATACATATTGTTTATTTTTGAGACATTGCAAAAAACAGCCTTGTCTCCAGTTTACAAAAAGTGTTATTTGCTGGTGAATAGGCTCCATCAGCTTTTGGCATAATGATTCGGGAAACAAAAACATGCATTTTAGGAGAGTGCCTTGAAAACCATTCAGAAATGGGTGAGAAACTCTGGGCTGAATCCATTCACTTCAGCCTCCTTGGCCAGCAGCAAGTGTAACATAAGGGGAATTAATGAAAATTTGTTCTTACAGTTGTCTAAGAATTCCTGTATAAATACAACTTTTGTCATTATTAAGATCCAATGTCCCAGATATTCAGTGAATGTTGGCTTCTCACTAAGTAAATAATTCCCTTCCAACACAAACCAGTTTGCAAAAACAACAGCTTAACATGCACATCCGACCTTCGCAGACCCATCGGTAGGGGGGTGGGGGCAGGGGGGCAGGG